TCCCAGACTTCATGAATTCAAGCGCCCTACGAGGCTGGCACCCCGCTCTCACCCTTTCACTGTAGAAACTACTAAATGTAGCCGTCTCTTCTACTCCAATAGCTTCATACCTCGCACTGTGGAACACCCTTCCCAATTACTGTTTCCTTGAGAGCTATAATCTCCAACTATTCAAATATAATGTTAATCGACATATCCAGTTACCTTGATCTACCCACTATCCTTCTCCTCATCCTTTCTTCTATCACTCCTATCTGCTCTCGTTCCAAATCTTCTGCAACCCCCTGCATCCTAGTGGCTTCACGCTTTGCTCGGGGCGTAATGCTTTAAAAAAAAACAAACAAAAAAAAAACACTGATGATAAATTGATTTGTATTTTATATAGTTACTTAATACCGAGTTGGTGACAGGCGCTAATATTTTGCAGTTGACTATTAATATTGTGAAACATATCAGATTAAAACTGTTTTAAACGTATGCACCCGATATTTTTCGTGAAAAGATTAAAAAAATAAGTGGAAAAACATATTTACTGGTAATCCCTATTCGATGAACGAGCTAAATCATGCTTATATGTTAAATGACATAATCGTAATATTATTCAGAATAGAAGTCTATTCATATTACTGTTAACAGGCCCAATAAATGCAAAATAAAATTCTGTTCTTAGATATTTTCTATCTATTTATGACAGGAAAGGAAAATATAATTTCAACAATCAGGTGCAAAAGTATTCGAAATTTAATTCAAAATTAAAAGTCATCATTTATCTAATATTTTCATGCTTATTTATACAGAGTGCGATGGGTAAATTGCCACGTTTTAATATTTTTAATTTCACGCTTGAGAGTTTTTTTGTCGACTAAACGGTATAATAGGATCTGTTGGGCGTCGTCTGTGAGAAAAAAGAGCACCATGATTCAGAAATTTGGAAACAGCATGCTTGATATTCGCACCGGAAACTCAAATACGAACATTTGAGATGCTTTGCCTCAATCTGGGGACAACGCAGAAGACTCGGAAAGAGTTGGATGAGTCTAATGGTGAATGCGAAGGTGTTTGGAGTGATCACTAGTGATGGCAACGTTATGCCTCCATTCATCGTCCCACAGGGCCTCAGAATTAACATAGAGGCCAACATCAAGTTCTTGGTAGTGATGCTCTGAGTCAAGAGGGTGGCTGATGGAAGATGCTATGTCTGGCAACAGGATACTGCACCATGTAACACAAGCGGAAGAATCTAGTTATAGCTGTCAGACAATTCTTACGACGACATCACCCCTTACATTTAGCCAAACTCCTCAGACTGCAACCCACTTGATTAGTATGTGTGGAGAGCAGAGAAAAACTAACAAAGCTTCTTATAACACCAAAGATGAACTGAAGGCAAGGATTATGGCAGCATTCACCAAATTAAATAAAGAGACCGTCCAGGAGAGGTGAAGAAGATTCTGAAGTCGTCTGGAGGCCATGGTTGAAGACAGTGGCGAGTTTGTTGAATAAATGTACTCTTTCGTATTTCAAGATATTTTTATGTAATTTTGGAACTCTGTTAACATGAGATATCAATGTTATTTTCAGTTTTTTCGTAATTTAGACGACAGTTTATCCATTCAGCCTGATAGTTTTAACAATATTACTCCTTAATTATTTTATATATCAGCCTATTCTTTTAAGATTATACTGAATTGGAACAAGTGTTCGTGGCGTCTTTTAATAGGTGGCATTTGAACACGTGATTTCGTTTCACACACTACAGGATATATATATATATATATATATATATATATATATATATATATATATATGTTTGGATAGATGTGAGTTTGTGACCCTGGGTTTCACGCTTTAGCGATCGTCAGACAACTCACATCTATCCAACCAAATATGTTAGCTCTATCTCTGATACTGAGCGCTTTCTAATAAGTACCATGCATATATAATATATAAATAATTATACATATATATATTTATTGATATTTATATGCACTTTTCACACACACAGACACACACACACACACACACACACACACACATATATATATATATATATATATATATATATATATATATATATATATATCTACCTGTCTACTAGAGCGGCTAGCCAATCCCTAATTCAGACGTTCATTTGTGTTTGTTCAACACCCATAGAGACCACCTGTGGTTTATACTGCAACTATGCTGAGTAGACCGTAGTGACAGTTTCTTGGAGAGAGTGTGTTATCTAGCGTGTTCAGCAATCTGGACAAGGCCAGAACATGCAAACCCTCGGTCACGATGACCTGTTAGTTCGTGCTAGTGTTCCGTCTACCCAATTTTCACTCACAAGGTATGGTTTTTCAGGCACTTTCCAAAAGTGCAGCACGCTGGGATGATCGTCCCCGTCCAGATGGATAACATCAGGAAGACTCCTTCTTGACAAATCAAACGTGGTGATTGTATATATATATATATATATATATATATATATATAAAGAAATGGACAAAGTCCGACAATTTATTTATTAAAGACATTTTTATGTTTAACGTTCTTTTTATAGATACTTAAATACTTGTATCTATAAAAAAGACGTTAAACATAAAATGTCTTTAATATATATATATATATATATATATATATATATATATATATATAACGTCATCCACATACAGCTGTGCTGTATCAAAGCTCATTAATGCGGCTAGACATCCGAATGATTAAAGCTGGGACCGATTTTCTACCCATACGACTGAGGGAAAAGGGAAATTCTAGCGTATTATTTTTACGAATGTAACTCTGCCTAGTGCTCTCCTGTTCATGGGCACTACTGCCATCTTTTTTTTTTCTCTAAATGCTGAAGCTATTGAACAAGTCATGGTATCTATTTTCTAGGTTTTTCATTTCAGCTTCACTTAAGGGATTGCTTATGTATTTATAACCGCATTTTCATTTTGTTTGAACTCCCAATTTGGATAGATTAATATTGACCTGTTTTAAATTGGGCAGAGGACATAGGTTATTAGCCAGATAAACCAAACGTATAATTAAAACAAATGGCAACAAACTTAATTTGAAACTGTAGTGCAAACATGAAGTGAATGTTTTTGGTATAAGAGATTTGATTCTCCCTTAGGGCATACCATAAGACCGGAAATTATTGTTGTTCCGCCCAATCATATGTACGGTAATGGTAATATTAACCGTTTCCCTACAAGGAAACATTTGGCAGTCACTGACTGAACATCTAGTACTGTTTTGGGTTGAAATTTATAAAAACCTTCTCTTAAAACACCTTTCGAGTAAAGTAGCTTTCTCATGTCCAGCAGCTTTTTACTGCTCTTTCCAGTATTGATGGGGGTTTCCTTCCTGTTATGGTCCAGGTTAGGACCAAGGAAGAACAACACGAACACAAGAGTAGAAATAACGAAGGTATATAACACGAAATAATAATACAAGATGTGGTAGGTGTTAGCATGATTGTCAGTCTGGTTTGGAGTGAACTACTATCGGCTCGACTCGACTCGATATTTACTTAACCACGAGGGAAAGATGTGGCGCAAGACTGAGTTTTACGTGGATTTTCCTAGCCCGTAGAAAATGTAAAAACAGAATCGGTTTGGTCAACCTCCCCGAACGAGACTCTGCCCTTCGGCGGAGCCTCGTCCGTGTTCCTCTCTGCTCAGAGGCAGAGAGTTCGAACGTCAAGCCGAGAAGTTCGGCTTGATTCGGTATCTAGCCACCCTCCCACGAGAGTTGCATGTGGCACAAGGCCGAGTTTTACGTGGGTTTTCCGAGCCCGTAGGCTCGGCTAAAAATGCCCGTAGAACCCGTATAAACGGAATCGGGTTGGTCAACCTCCCCGAACGAGACTCTACCCTTCAGCGGAGCCTCGTCCGGGTTCCTCTCTGCTCAGAGGCAGAGTTCGACCATCAAGCCGAGAAGCTCGGCTTGATTCAGTATCTAGCCACCCCCACGAGGTTGCATGCGACACAAGGTCATTTTTTTATCGTGGGTTTCCTGAGGCCCGTAGGCTCAGCCAAAAAATATGCCCGTATAACTCCATAAAAACGAGATCAGGTAGGTCATTTACCCCGAACGAGATTCTGCCCTTCGGCGGAACCTCGTCCGGGTTCCTTTCTGCTCAAAAGCAGAGAGTTCTACCGTCAAGTCGAGAAGCTCGGCTTGATTCGGTATCTAACCACCCCCCACGAGGGTTGCATGCGACACAAGGTCATTTTTATCGTGGGTTTCCTGAGCCCGTAGGCTCAGCCAAAAATATGCCCGTATGACTCGTAAAAACGAGATCAGGGTAGGTCATTCACCCCGAACGAGATTCTCATTTCGGCGGAACCTCGTCCGGGTTCCTTTCTGCTCAAAAGCAGAGAGTTCGACCGTCAAGTCGAGAAACTCGGCTTTATTCGTCCCTCTCTCTTGAGAGGCGTAGTATACATAGTGTTAGGAAGAGTTCATTCTGTAGTTATAGGTAAGGCGCCATGACACTTCCGAACCGTCTATTTGAAATGGCATGAAATATTAATATATTGATTATGTCATTTTTTTCTATTCAAGTTACAGGTTCTATCCATTTTAGTTCTTACTGATGTTGGTAGTCCCTAAGTGATGTGGTTTCTGTTATTCAGTACAGTTTTTTGTTTGTGATTCTGTATTCATTATATTGTCTTATGTACCTACTAAAATGCTCTGTGTAATTAATTTAATTTAATTATTTTATATTTTCTTTCCTATATATATTTATTATATTGCCGTCAGCATTTTCTAACCCTTCTTTGTTTTTTTTTAACTACATAATTGTCTTTAACATGATTAACTGGAGTAAAATCATTTATTTTTATTCTGGTTGATCAAGTTGAAAACAGTTCACTGAGTACAGAGAAATTATTTAGAAGAGGAAAATGTCGACTTTGAAGAATTCATAAACGACTCATTTGAATTGTGTAGAACAGAACGAAAAAACAAAATCCAGGTTACAAATTATAAGAGGAAATTAAAGTTAAAATCAGAGACAAGATAAAAAAAAAATATGTGAATATATTTCATAGCTGTAGAGGAAAAAATCGATCTTAAAAGAATTCTTAAAACAAAGAAACTGCGCTGCAAATGAAATATTATGGGCGTAGCCGTGAAGAAAAAAGAAACTGTAACAGCAAACTGAATCAATATTATTGTCAGCCCAAGGCGAAGACAAGAGAAACAAGTGTAGCAAATAAAGATAAATGAAAGCGAGGAAAATAGAAAGCGACGATTGGTTGATAAATGTTGTACGAGAGTAACGGAGGAAGTCACATACTGGAACGTTGGAAAGCGAGGTGAATGCAGCCGAAGAAATATGTCTAAGCACAAGGCAGAAGCCGCAAAACGGTAGATTGCAGTGGAAAAACAGAAGACGTATCGAGTTGCAAAGAGTACCTTCCTTGAAAAAACATGAACTACAAGAGAAGGAAAGGACAAAAGCAAACATACATGGAATGTAACTAATATGAAAATGATTCTTGCATCGAGAAGCATTGATCTCCTGAATCGAGGAAAAAGAGGAAATTCATATCAACTAGCAGATACGGTGGGACCAATTCAATATGAATTGGCGTCTAATTAAAATCACTGAAAGATTCCCTAATAAAAAAAAGAATAATCTTCTAAGTGGCCGGCATACATTCACGCTTCAAACTTCTTATATAGGTGTTATGGTCCAGGTTAGGACCAGGGAAGAACAACACGAACACAAGAGTAGAAATAACAAAGACATATTACACGAAATAATAATACAAGATGTGGAAGGTGTTAGTATGACTGTCAGTCTGGTTTGGAGTGAACTACTATCGGCTCGACTCGATTCGTACCTCTCTCTTGAGAGGCGTAGTGTACATAGTGTTAGGAAGAGTTCATTCTGTAGTTATAGGTAAGGACCCATGACAATAGGAATTAAGTGACACGGCTGACACTTGAGTTTGAATATAGATCGCCAATGAGCAAACACAAGCGATCCCATTATTGAACTAAGTAGACCACATGACCATAGAGAAAACGCATGTAGTCGTTCTGTGGCAGCAATATTCTAAGCATGGGGAGATGGTAGACATAAATATATAGGATAGATTCTGTAGAGAAAAATTGTCTCGCACGAGACAGTGATTCGACTTTCTTGATAGCTGGCCTAGAAATAGATTCAATCTTTCCACTTCATGCCAGACGAGAACGTTAGCCCGAAAAGGCGCAATTGAATCCCAGGCCTGGAGGTCAGTATCAGCCATGTTGGTGGAAAGAAGAGAGGGATCTCTCAGATGATCAACAGAGGGAGAATTTTTATTTTGGTGTCGTTAAAATTAAAAACCCATTCTTTGCTCCAGTTAACAAAAGACTGAATGTCATTTTGTGTTATATAGGAATAAAGAGTAGCTGCCGACACTTGAGTTTGAACATAGATCGCCAATGAGCAAACACAGGCGACCCAATTATTGAATTAAATAGACAACGTGACCATAGAAAAAACGCATAAGTAGAAAGTAGCGTGACGTCCAACTGATCGTTATTTCTAGTCTATCCTCTATTACTATACGGATCACCATTTCTACTCTATCCTTTATCACTATACAGACCGCTATTCTCTACTCTATTTACTATACTATTTCTCTATACGGATCACTATACAGATTACTATTCGAGCGAGTATTATCGAGCAAGTGCTATTAGTGCGAGGGTTATTCGAAGGTGTTTGACACCAGTATTGTTCAACGGCATTACGATAGTTAGAACTGCGATTACAAAGTTTCTACTACAACGAGCATTACGAAAGTGACAACGAGTATTCGTTGGCACACCAAAAGTGGCAACGTCTGTTCGTTGACATCACAAAAAAAATTTCTTAAGGCAAGAGTGTCTGTAGTGTAAGGAAAGTGATATAGATTGAATGAGGGAAAATGTACGTGAAAATGAAAGGAATAGAAAAGTCGGGGTTCGGTCTGCTACAAAGAGTTAACAGATAACAAAAAGTGTTAAAAATTTGAATCAAAGAGAAAGAATTTAAAATGTACAACTTGTAAGGGTAACGATGCTACGAAGACAACTAAATCATAGGCAGAAGAGTGCAGTAAAAAGAAGACATGCTATCACTAAATCTGAACTGCAATCCACCATTTACTATTCGTGGTGTTAAAAAGCAATAAGTTATATAATAATAATAATAATAATAATAATAATAATAATAATAATGCAAGAATGTGGCATTTGAACACAACTACCATTCCGATAACAATAGAAGCACCAGGAATTATTAACAATGATATTGATATATTCAATACAAATAAGCCAAGAAGAGATAGAATCTATCTTAGACAGAAAAGATTGCGCTCAACACGATCACCCATATATTCAGAAAAAATCATATAATGAATATTTTTTCAAGAAAAACTCCACTTTACTTCTGGTCTCAAGTAAAAGACTTGGTAAAGTATTTTATGTAACAGAAAATGAAGAAAACTGTGAAATAATAATAATAATAATAATAATAATAACTTCTACGGGAAGAAAATCTGCAACTTCTACGGGAAGAAAAAATCTGCAACTTCCACGGGAAGTAAAAATCTGCAACTTCTACGGGAAGAAAACTGAAAGAAACTGGTATGAACACCACCCAGACCCGGTTACGGAGATAGGACCTGTTACAATCCTATGGGACTACACAATACACACTGACAGAACAATCAAGGCCAACCGGCCAGATATTGTTATTAAAGACCACAAACAAAAACGGTGCCTCCTTATTGATATGGCAGTCCCTACTGACTGCAATGTATCTTTGAAGATATTCAAAAAGTTGTCAAAGTACAAGGACCTTGAAATAAAAATCGCGAAAATGTGGCATATGGGAACATCAACAATCCCTGTTGTAGTTGGAGCCCTAGGACTGGTTGGAAAAGATTCCAGTAGACTAATTGAAGGGATTCCTGGAAGTCCATGCCTCAGGGAGATACAGAAAATTGTTCTGACAAGTACAGCCCACACCTTACGAAGGGCTTTATCTATGTAATCATTTTTTTTTTGTCAGTGGAAAGTGTCATGACGCCATTTCTAACCTTAGGTCCCTGGGCGGGACCCGGAAAGAAATGTGTAAACGCCAGGAATCAAAGAAAATACAAATAATAATAATAATAATTGCACACAGACAGAACAATCAAAATTAATCGCCCAGACATTGTGACCAGAGACCACAAAAACAGAATATGCTTTCTTATTGACATGGGAGTCCCCGTAGGCAGTAATGTATCTTTGAAGATCTTTGAAAAAACTATCAAAGTAGTAGCAGGACCATGAAATTGAAATCTCAAAAAAAAAAAGTGACAGGAGAAGATATCAACAATTACACTTGGAGCTGGCGCCCTTGGTTTGATTGGAAAAGATTCCGATAGACTCATTGAAGGGATTTCCGGTAGCCAAATCTTAAAGTGATACAAAAAATCTACATCACAAAAAAAATCACACTTTACGCAGGGCTTTACCTATGTAAAATGTGTGTGATTTTAAGTTTATTTATTATTGTTTATTTTAAAAAAAAAAAAAATGCTTTGTGGAAAATATCGTGATGTCATTTCTGACCTTAGGTCTCCGGTTGGGACCGGCAAGGAAATGTGTTTACAACAGAAATCAAAGAAATAATAATAATATATTTATTATAATTATTATTAGAATAATAAAACTAATTTTGACGGGAAGAGAAACAAGGGTGATAGTATTTAAATCATATTGAATACAAGGAGGATTTAAATAATAATAGTAGTAGTCGTAGTAATAGTAGTAGTAGTAGTATATGTCTATGTGTGTGTGTGAATGTTTGTTTATGTATATTTTTTTATGTATTTATATATGTATATAATTGTTTGCCTAAATCCTTTTATAAAAATTTGTTACTATTCTTTCTTAATTAAAGTACATGAATGAATTATATTTCTATGAAATACAATTTCTTTATGCATTATTTAACCATTTTTTTTAGATAAAATTCTTAATGTGTCGTATCTTTCTCGACTAGCTCTTCTCTGAATATTTTATATTTCACAATAATAATGTTCGAGGAATACTCGATGTCGAATGTTTTGATAAATCGAACAACATGATGAAGAAGAGATGTCAAAATAAAATGATAATCACACGTAAAAATTTGCAAAATTTTCAAAACAAAATAATCATTCAAAGTTAGGCTAAGAATTGTATTTATGACACCACTATGAGAATAAGAAAAAAGGATTTTATATAACAACAACATCAACAATAATAATAATAATAATAATAATAATACAGCCCGCAACTTACGAAGGGCTTTATCTATGTAAAATATGTATGATCGTTTTCTTTTAAATTGCTCAGTGGAAAATGCCATGATGCCATTTCTGACCTTAGGTCTCTGGTTGGGACCCGGAACGAAATGAGCAGTTTACAAAAAAAAAAAAAAAAAAAAAAATTGTAAATCTTCATAAAAGTATTCACAATTTGTACCGTCAAGATATGGGAATGGAATTTGACATGGAGAACTTTGCAATACTTGCAAGGAACAAAGGAAAATCCAAACGAACGAAAAGAATTGAATTACCCTGCGAGAAAATCGTGAAGATACTGAACAAAAAGAATGACTAAGGAAAATCCAAGGCATCTAAGAAATCATGAAGCGCGCGGTGATGAAGGAAAAAAAACGTCAGCAAAATACAATATATAAGAGCCAATTCTGTAGGAAAGACAAAGAAACAAGTAGCTGAGCTGTTGCCATTGTAAGTTAACCTGACAGGAACTCCGGAATCTGGACCGCAAAATCAGAAAACTGATGAATATGCGTAAGTTTTGACACCCGATATATGATATCAATAGGTTAAATGAAAAACACCAAAAAGAAAGCAGATGCGATATTTACGTCAATTGTGAAATCAAAGGAGAGTCGAGAGTATAGAAAGACAAAAACAGAAGAAGGAGCAGAAGTCAATGTAACACAAGAAGGACAAGTCAAAAAAAAGCGAAGAAAAATAATTCTATGGACAATTCAGAATACAATGTATAGGAAAGCCGGACAAATCGACGTTTATATGACTATTTCAGGAAGACTAGATGACAGAAATTGAGTCGATTTAATAGCGTCTCAGCACAAGTGCAATAAGCGCCAATGATATGATTGATAAAACACTGGAGAACAGCAGAAATCAAAGATGGAAGAATCGAGTATATTATCAGTGAATGTATCAATTACCACAGAAAGAGGACGGAAATATGCATGAGTGGGTGGAAAATACTATAGAAATTGTGCAAGCGATTCCATTTTGCCAGTATAGACAGGAATCTATTTTAGAGAATTCAAACCCCCTCTGGAATTTTGAAACTCACACATATCAACCAGTATTGGCGAGAGAACAGGATTTAGTATTAGTAAAATAAAGGTAAAAAAAACAAAACATGGCGGATAATAAATTGTTCTGGATTCCG